CCCTCTTGCTCTGCTCAGTGGGCCATGAGGTGTGGTCATTACATTAGGGCTCCTGAGACTGCTCCAAGGCAGGCTGGGGCAGCTGCCCCAAAGGCTCCACCTCACACCTTCCCAGCCGGAGCCGCTGGATGTGGGCTGGCTTGGCAGAAAGCCACAAGCCCACCTGTGCGCGAGGTCACCCGAAGCCTGTCACAGCCCAGCACCAGCACAGAACCATGTCCCGTCCGGCCATTGGCATGCACGGAGGGCAGAGGTGGAAGCAGAAGGGAGTCCTGCAGGCTGGGATCCAGTCTAGGAGAAGTGCTGACTTTGGGGTCCACCTCAGGCAAGGCAGAGCGTTTCCTGGGAGCCACCGCCTAGAGAAAGCTGCAGGTCCCCCAGGACCCAGGCTCAAAGCAGGCCTTGGAAGATGAACCACTTGACAGCTGCAGCTAATGCTGTTGGAGTGGCTTCTTTCTCTGTGGTATTGTTACTCTCCTGAGGGAGGCAGAGCAGAATTCAGATTTGGTTTTTAGCTGAGTAATTGAGGCCCTCTTGCCGATTCCCATGGCTTCCACCCTTCCCGTGCCTCCTGCAAGGTGCACCTCCTTTGCATTTTTCTTACCCTTCCTGGCCTCTCACTGAGGCCTGAGTCTGGGGCCTGTTAGGTTGCTTTCAAGGCCACTGGAGTGGAACTGTGACTCTAAATGCTGGGTCTGTCTCTTAGTAGATACACACTTTTGGAAAAAAAATTCTTATATTTCTTTAATTAGAAAATGAGACTCCAGCTGGTCATAATGGCACATGACTGTGACCCTATGTAGTATTCAAGGAGGCTGACACAGAAAGTTTAATCCAGCTTGGGAAATTTAGCAACTCAGGGAGATGCTGTCTAGAGATGAAAAAGTATTGGAATGTAGCTCAGTGCAAAGGCCCTGGGTTCAATCCTCAGGAGAGAGAGAGAGAGAAATACTCTCTCCCTGGCTGGCACTGTATCCTCTGGTGGTCTCCCTCCATGCTCATGTGCCCCTGTGTCCCCTCTATGTCCAAATATCTTCCTCTTATGAGGACACTGGTCAGACTGGAGTAGGCCAGCACACGACCTGGTGTGGCCTTGATAAGCCTTATATGGACTGTCCTTAAGGACAGCCCCATTCTGAGGTGCTGCTTCAGAATTTGGGGATCACCACAGGAGTGTGGGGACACCACTCAGCCCACAGGCAATGCATCTTTCACAGGGCTGGGCTTCCAAACTGGACAGTGGGTGTAGGTGCTCTGTGAGCGACGCCTACAGGGGTCGCAGCACACAGCCATCTTGGTGCTGGCTCCTCACCCTGCCCCCACTGACTCCCTGGAATTAGGGGGCCACTTCTCAACCCCCGCTGGTGGCCTTCCTTCTCAGAGCTGTCCCGAGGGTCAGAGAGGCCACTGGCCATATACAGGGAAATATTCAGAAGTGGCTGAGCCACGGACATCTGGTCTCAGTGGACACCATGTGGCTCATGTCACAGGTGGGTCTGTCACGTTCCTTGCAGGTGAGCTGAAAGCAGGTCTACCTGATACCCTCATCATTGGTTCTGGAGCCCCTAAGAGGGCAAACACCAGTCTCTGGTGGGCATCAGTGAGTGTGTCCTAGAGTGGGCCTCGGGTCTCAGGGCTCCCTTCTGGGGCAGACTTGGCACCTCCGCCAGCACCGACTTTGGACTCATGGAATGGGCCCAGAGCCTTGGAAGGAATGAGGAGCTCGGGTGAGGACCAGGGTGTGCTGCTGCTGGAAAATCCCCTCCCTGCAGGATCAGCCATGTCCCTGCTGCTGGTGGAGAGAGGAGCAGGCACTGTGTGGGCACCAGGCCCCCTTCACATACCCTACCCTGCCCATCCAGACTCCCAACCACTGCTTCCTGTGGATGGGGAGCTGGAAGCGTGGGTGATGCCATGCGCCAAGTCAGGAATAGATGTGGCAGAGAGGCGAGAGCAGCTGCCAGTCTTCAGCCGGTGCTGTCTATGTGCTCAGCAGCCATCTTCTTTGTGACTGGTCCCTGAGCCCTGCTTGGAACTTAGCAGTGATGTCTTCAACCTTCAGGAAACATTTGTATCAAACTCTGCTGAGAAAATCCAGAAGTCCCAACCAAGAGCCAAGGTGGTGCACAGAGAGCCAAGACAGGGAGGCCGCAGCAGCACCTCACAAAAGGCCAAGTCTTCAAAATCACAGTGACAGGAGGGACATGGCCTAGGTGACTGGAAGATGGGAAATGAACAGTCCAGTTTTGGCTCTGCCAGTGATGACTGTCACACACTCGAATTCCTATCCATTCACTTTGGAAATGAATGGGGCTGAGGAGTGGAGTGGGAGCAGTGACAGCTGTGGCTACTGAAGAGCACACTCAGAATTAGACCAAATTACGCTGGTCTTGGTGTTCGAGGCTTGCAATCCCAGCACTTGGGAGGCTGAAGCAGCAAGGTCATGAGTTGGAGGCCAGCCTGGGCTATTTAGTGAATTCACGATTGACCTGAACTACAGAAGAAAGAAGAAGAAAGAAGGAAGAAGAAGAAGAAGAAGAGGAGGAGGAGGAGGAGGAGG